TTTTGCCTGGTATATGCATTTTTAACCAAAAGAGAACACCTGACCTGAATGACGACCAACATGTCACAAAGGCATCCTTCGTGCATCCCTTCCCAACATGCCCATACGCAATATTGAGGCAGGAAAGTGGATCCCTCCTGCTCATCCCTTCTCTCTCCATACGCATTCACCCGCATCTCTCTCTTTTTTTTTTTTCTGGTGGGCACTTCTATTGTTTTACAAGTGTCTCCTTCAACACATGGCACATCTGCTGTATCTAAACAAAAAAAACCCCAAAACACCCCAAACCCCACGACAGCCCCCAAAACAAACCCAAGAGGATGGAGAGAGGGAGCCAAGGGCTGTGAGGAGTTGGGACCTCTTCCCGGGTAACCCAATTATGCGGAGATGCTGCCTGGAAGTCTCTGGATCCTGGGCCTCCGTTTGATACTTTAACATTGTTAATGATAATTCTTTAGTCTGTAATAGTAGGTCATTGCTATGGTTACTCTACAATGGTGCAACACTTCGCTTTCCCCTTCAGCTATTCGCTGAGACCCGGTAACCACATTTGTTGCCTAGCAACAGTTTTGTGACAGTATCACAATCTGGGGGTGACAACAATGAAGGACACGGTGGCCGTGGCCTGCCCGGCAGAGAGGGATGCTGTGTGGGGCAGCCGATGATCCCTGGGGGACATGGGGCGGCTGATGGTCCCCGGGGATACAGGCTGGCTGCCCTGGAGGGATGCTTTGGCACGGTGCCGCCTGCACGCCCACCTTCACACCCCCGCCGGGACCCTCACCCCCACATACCCATCCGTGGTGCATCCTTGGGTGGCTCCATGCACGCTGTCCCCTCCAGAAAAGTCTTTGATGGAGGCACTACCCGTCACGTTGCCCTCCCCCGCTCCCTCAAAGGCAGCCATCAGACGAGCTCCTCCAAAAAAGCCCTCCACAGAAAGACACCACTTCCCACACAAAAGAGACGTTTTTGTACAAAGAGGATCCACGTCACGCGCACATACAGATTTCCCCCTCCTCTCCGTCTTTCTTGTAGGGAGACAATTCATGACATCTTACACGAATTTCCCAGAGGCACTTTTTATACAAACACTTTCCACCTGTAAATTCACCCATCCCTGTGCAAACCATCCTTGCAGGGAGGCAGTCCGTCACCATCTCACCCTTGCAGGTGGCTCTCCATGCAGACCACCTGCCTCATCCCCTGCGAGAGCCACCCTATAGCCACACTTGCCGGTGCTTGTTCCCCACCTTGGGGTCATCCCATATACAGAGGTGTCCCACCACAGCAGAAGCATCAAACTCCTCTTCCAGCACAACCCTCAGCCTAACAAAACCAGACTTGTCCTACAGGTTATGGCACGGTTGGGTATGCTACGATCACCTGCTGCCACCATGCAATGACACCAGTAAAGAAGGTGGTTTCATGGAGGGACAGGCTGTCCTAGCACACCCCAAGGACAGCCCTGCACAGGTAGGTCTCCTCACACAGCCGTGTCACAGCGCAGGGTAACATCACATTGAGCCCCAAGAGGCAAAACGTCTTCCCATGAGGCTTTCTGGGCCCTACAAGGACGTTTCCCACACAAACATGTCTCTATCACTCCTGCCTGCCTGCATCCGTCTCCCTCTGTCTCGATCGTATTCATCCTCATTAATATCCACTGGATTAAATTAGATGAAAATATAGGCAGTGAACATTATGCTGTTTTTTTTTTTTCCCCCTGTTCTTTCTTTTTCCTTTTTATCAACAACCTTCCTCCTCCATGAAAGGGCCATCCAGAAACAAAAAATGACAAAACAATAAGTTTCTCAAGCCTCCCCGTCCCTTTCTCCGTCCTGCCTTCTCCCATGCACTCTCCTCATGTCCTCAAGAGAGATCAGGCATACATTCACTGGTGTTACTGAAACTGATTAACCTACAGCTTTCCTGTAGCAACCCCTCTCAACCCACCCCTCTCAAAAAACAATTCAAGCTTTGAGTCTAGAGGGACTCAATGATTCAGCGGTCTAAAGCAATTTTAACACTCCCTATTTTCCCTTTCCTAGTAACAATCTTACTGACAGATGAACAATTTCCCTGGTGATAAAATCACTACAATGGCTATTTAGTTTCCAGGATTATGATGATTCTTTGCTTGATTAATATTGCAATAAGAAAAGCTTGCCAAGTATCTGCCTTGGCCCTTTATAGTCATTTAAAGGTCAAATTCTGTCCTTACATTCAACTACTACCAAAGGGAGAGCCCTAAAAATTTAACACTGCACAGACTGTGCGTTTATGATTTATATACCAGAGGCTTGGAAAATTAGACAGAAGCAAGAGGAGATATGTCCTAAGGGTGATGACAGATTTGGCCATAAGGTTTGCACCAGAGGAAAAACATCATTGACAACTGCAATCTCAATTGCGTACTTAGTCGTAGACAAACCTTGTGCCTTTAGTAGTAGACAAACCTAAATTAAATGCATGAGCAGCCATCTATTTTTTGATAGAAAGAATCATTTGTGAGAGTTGGATAATAAGAAGCAGTTGTACTAAAGCCAAGGTCCTCTAAGTTATATATACCCTTAGCGCTCATTAATTTCAATGACCGTGATGATAAACTGCACAATTCAATATACTGTATTAAGCGATGGTTGTCGCACAACGTATAGTGATTTTGGACATTAATTCTTTAAGAAATCTTAGGAGCATGTTGCAATGAAAAGACATATAAAACCCGTTAAGTGTGGGAGACAGCTAGAACATCCTAAAATATGCTCAGGCTGCAGTCGCAGAAGAAAAAAAAAAACAAACAGCCCCCCCCCCAGGCTCACAGCACCACGAAGAGAAATGAGAGAAATGCCATAAAAGCAGAACGACCTCCCAGTTGCTCAAGCAGGAAGAGGCAGGGAGAACCGGATATATATCTTAGCATGTACAGAACATCCCTGGAAAGGAGCCCCAATAAGAAGGTGGATCCCATAATGTGTGAGGTGAAACGAGTAATGACTGTAAAACGGTGAACAAGTTTCAGAATCAATTTACCGACCACCGCAAAGAGATATTGACGATCAGAAATAAAGAAGACTTGCCAATACAGTTGTTGATACAAAAAAAAAAAAATCAGGTAAGGGAATACTTGCAAAAATTTAATATACAAATCATCAGGTCTGGATGACATGCATCTGAAGGTCTTCAGGGAATCAGTTAATGAACTTGCTGAACTACTGGCAATTATTTCTGAGAATTCATGCACAATCAGGTAGGCACCAGAGGACTGGGGTGGGGGTGGGAAGAAAAACAATGCTAATTTGAGAAAAGGAGGATTAATTGAAACTACCGCACGTAAAATTTACCTTTGAATAGTAGTAAAGTAATAGATCAACGTGAAAAAAAATTGCCAACGCCTTTAGGGCAACAGAGACTTAGAACAGGACAGGCTCAGATTTGGCAAGAACAGGTAAAAACCAAACTTGACCACCGTACTGAGTCACAAAAATCAGTGGGCGAGAGATTTATCCATCGCCGTGTCTTTCTGCATAGGTCAACCTGGCAACGTGGGGGTGGTGGGAACCTGGGGAATCACTGACAATGAGGTATGACCTTCACTGCTCTAACGGGCTGCGGTTGCCCTTACTTCTCATTTGCAAATGAGTCGCTTTACTCCCACCAAGGAGACCTCACAACACTTGAGATTTACAGTAACGCAGCTCCCAGCCATGCGGTGCCGTGCCTGTGCCGGCTCTGGCCGTGGCATCTCAGCAGGCTGGGTCCAGACTCAGCATCTCATCTCAACTCATCTCATCACCGTTCCTCACTGGGTGTCAGTTTGGGACTCTGCCCTCTGCAATTACCACTGCAAGTCCAGAACAGCATCACGGTTCATCAGGTTCACGACATTTCAGCTGAGGAAAGGCATAACTCTGCATCTAGGAGACAATGAACGGTACCACAGCCTGTCTTGGAAGTGGGTCCTGGTGCTCTTCTTGGGAAGTGGCTAGAGCACACGAGAAGACAATAATAAGCAATGATACCATGTTGAAAATGTACCTATGAGGTCCCGGAGGGATCGGTGTTAGGGCTCAAGTCCTTTAAACATGGTTATTAGTGATCTGAAAGAATAATGAGAGCGCTTATTGGTTAATTAGATGAATTAGCAGATGATGTATTGAATAGGAGAAAAAGCAAACATAAGAAGGGTACAGAGAGATAGTAATTAAAAAAAGGGCAGCCTACCTGGGTAGGAAAAATAGAGAAGGGGGAAAGCAAATTTTGGAACGGGGAGTGGTGCCTGCAGGGGCGGCCGTGCAACGCCACCGGGCGAGTGATCCCGGTGGCCATTTGCACACACGTGTGCAAGTGCACTTTCGCCACCTCCCCTTATTTCCACTTCCACTTCCACTCTGGAAAAGCAGCTCTTCTGCCGGCGAGGCCAACGAACTCCTCTGTCTGAAGCACAGTGCCCGCGGAGGGAAGGATCTCCACAATCCCCATCATTCACTCTCGCCGAGCGATTACCGGCTGTGCGGGACAAAGGTGCCCTCCTACGGCGCCAGCCCACTGCGCCGGACAAAAGCCTCCTCCCGCGGTG